GGCAGAGGTGCTAATAGTCTATTGACAACAGTTTCTGGGAAATGGCATGGAAGGCTATAGAATACACAGTTTTGGGTTACACCCATACCATGATGAACTCAGCTGTCCTAACTAGGACAGAATCATTTGACATGCTTCAATTCCCATATAGGTTTCATCCACTTTGTGCTTCCAATCTGAGACTTGGCAAGAGGCGGCCATGGCACTGGGAGCTGGTTTTTTGGAGTGTTAATAATGTGACTGTGATTCCAGGCACTTGGATCCTCACAAATGATCCTCACATGCTGCATAATTTCCTTCTCAACCCTCCTGCACATTGGATAGATTATGTCTCTTAAAAATAATGGCCATACATATCTACTGATGATCCTCTAGTCTTGTTCTTAAGTATTTGGAAATCAGACTGCTTTGAAAAATTATAAGGTTTTTGGACAAAACAATTCATGAATCTGAGTCAAAACTGTTGAATAGCTGCAGCTAGTTAGAAAAGAAACCACCACCCCAAACTCCACATTTCATTGAATCTTCATTTCAAAATAGCAAGTTTTTCAGACTGCCTGAGTATAAAACTTTTGTTAAAACCACTATGATCTGCAACAAATATTTCATCACTTTCTCATGTGGAAAACTGATAAATATTGCTTTAATTGTGGATAAATTATTTCCAGACCTCTCCCACAAGTTCTAGTTAGGATACTGACTTTGCTTTGAATTAACACTTGTTTTCCTTTCTGGTAGGCAAAGATGATCGTAATCTTTTCCATTCAAGAGGCAAAATAAAGAGAACAAAGTCAAGAACACTTACAGGACAAGAAGATAAGCTCTCTGTAAGTATCTTCTGCAAATACAAGAAAAAGTATTTATAGAGCAGCACTAACATGAAGGAGGGCATTTAAGGGTTAAAATATGCCCCTTGACTGGGGCGGGGCATAAAAGTCCAGCTTAATATAAAACCTGAACATTGGTAACTGACATTTATTACAGAACTGAAAATAACTATGTTTTTTTCCTACTAATAGCTTAATTAGATTGTTTCTCTCATTATTGAACCCGTTGTATTTTACCAATACCCGTTGTACTTTAGGCCTTAGGTTGTCCCCCCAAGTTCCTCAAAATGATCATCTCACTCCATGAGGATCAACACGACCAAGTCAGATATGGCAATGCACTTTCTGAGCCCTTTCTAATAACTAATGGTGTGAAACAAGGCTGTGTTCTCGCACCAACCCTATTCACAGTCTTTTTCAGCATGATGCTCCAAAGGGCCATGTCAGACCTTGAGGATCAGGACGGTATCTACACTCGATACCGTACTGATGGAAGCCTTTTCAACCTAAGGTGACTGAAGGCCCACACTAAGACCTTAAACGATCTTGTCCGTGAGCTGCTCTATGCTGATGACGCCGCCCTTGTTGCCCACACAGAAGCAGCTCTGCAGCGTTTAACATCCTGCTTTGCAGACGCTGCTGAGCTCTTTGGGCTGGAAGTCAGTTTAAAGAAGACAGAAGTTCTCTGTCAACCGGCACCTCAGAACTCTTCCATCATCCCCATATCACCATTGGCAAATCAGTGCTCAAATCAGTCCAGCAGTTTAATTACCTAGGTAGCCTCATCTCTTCGGACAGTAAGATTGACGGAGAGATAGATAACAGGTTAGCAAAGGCATATAGTGCCTTCAGAAAGCTTCATAAAAGAGTTTGGCGAAATAAACACTTGAAGAAAAGTACAAAGATCAGTGTTTACAGAGCCATAGTGCTGTCTACTCTCTTTTACGGATCTGAATCATGGGTCATCTACCGCCACCACCTGCAACTCCTAGAACGCTTCCATCAACGCTGCCTTCGTACAATCCTAAACATCCACTGGTCAGATTATGTGACTAATACATCTGTTCAACAAGCAGCAGTCACAAGTATTGAGGCCATGTTGCTGAGAACACAGCTGCGTTGGGCAGGACACATCTCAAGGATGAAGGACCACCACCTCCCTAAGATCATGCTTTATAGTGAACTTGCCTCTGGCTGCCGCATGAGAGGAGCCCAGAAGAGAAGATAAAAGGACTCCCTTTTATCTTGAGATGAAACAACATCTCAGCCTTGGCCATATTGATCAACATAACTGGTCTACTCTGGTCTCCAGTCGGGAGGTCTGGAGACACACTATCTGTAACACTACTGATGCCTTTGAGAAAGCACGCGGGATCACTCTCGAGGAGAAAAGACAACGCAGAAAGAATCGTGCCCTGCAGAATATACCACCTAAGGAGTCTTTCTGCTGTGCCTTTTGCAACTGGACGTGTTTGTCTCATATTGGCCTTTTTAGCCACCAGCGCGCTTGTAACAAATGTGGGTAGAGCCCTTCCCAAATCTTCGTTCGCAAAGCCTAGCCATGATGGTGATGATGTACTTTAGGCCAAAACACTGTTGGAGACTGATTCTGTTATAGGTTTTCTTCAGAAGCAGTATCAGATGAAGGCACTGTCATCTTCCCTTGACTTTACTATGTTTGACTCCACTGATGTACTGTGCTGGAACTACTGTTGGCACAGTATGTCTATGAACTAGGCGGGAGAAGATGATCTACCTAACAAGCTTTTAAGTCAACTCCATTTTCCCATTAAGCTGAGATGTCAGCATAATTGAGGCCTAGTTTAATTCCAGAAGCAAGGCTTCACTTCCACTAGAGACCAAACTTCCTGAAAGAACGGCCTACTAAACCGATTGTCAGTAATGACATGGAAAGTTTCAAAAGGGAAATGTACATTAATCTAAGCTTGGAACAGTTAGCCATCCCAACAGGTGGGAGAAGATACATAGCTCTGTGATATGAGTCCAGAGATAAAAATGCTTGGAGAAGAACGAGGTGGAAGCCTGGGAAGAAATTAAAGGTTTTATATTTTATTGTTTGTTGTTTTAAGATTTAGTAAACTAACTTCTGTGAGAAAAAACATACGCATTTTTTAAATAAAATACTTTCACAAATTCTGGAAGCTTCAAATTTTAATCCTAAATATAGCACTTTTACTGGGCTCAGCAGATCTTTATACAGCCCTGGAGAGCTGCATTGATGTAAACCTAATATTTTTCAGACACATTTGCTGAATCAAGACCTCAGTAGTGAGGTATTAGCCTGGGTTACCAAACACTTGCTGATATTGAAAAAGACATTCCCAGAGAAGAGTCATGGATTAGCAATAATGAGGCTCAGATACATTGCATTCAAGCCACCGTGTGCATTTTTCACCTTTACTCAAAGGCAGGATATGGCCTAGTTTTCACTATGTGAAATGTTACTGTCTGTGTCTCCACAGCCAGAATCCAGACAACTACTGGATGAACTGGGTCCAAATGGAAAAGGAAGAATCACCTTTATAGAACAGTTGCTCAGTGAAGTAAGTTATTGCTTGCTGAAGTTTCCCTTTTCAATTCTTTGACCATTTACTGACAGAATATTAGCCTGGTATGCAACTTTAGCTTTATGCCTAGGAGGCAACAGTCTCGTAATAGTCTTCAGATTAAAAGAGCATTTTCGAGAAGATGCAACCTATTTTACATTTATATATGTTCTCCCCAAATTTCTAGGGTGCATAAGGCATTCTTCTCTGTTTGTCAAGGCCAAGCAGAAAGTTTTATAGTTTAGGGTCAAGTCCTCTCTATAGGAAAAAAGCAAGCATAACCTCTAAGTTTTTGCTGTGTGGTAGGGTAAGGTACACCCTGACTGTGGAATCTGATTTGACTGCTATTATGTACATTACTCTGGCCTTGAGCTACGAGATGACAAACATTTTCAGAAGAAACATGAAGAAGCAAAACAACACAATGTTAACATTTCTCTGTCTTGAGCATAAAGCCCACTTGCCAACTTGAATTGGCATAATATTAAAGCAACATGGAAGTTGAAGAATCTGTATGGTTTTTAACAGCTCACCTTCCCTCTGCTGTGCATTCTAGGGAGCTGACCCAAACTGCATCAGCGACGAGGATCAACCTGCTCTCACAGTTGCTGTCCTTAACAAGCACACAGAAGCAATCTCCCTCCTTGTGCAGAAAGGTGCCGACATAGACCAGCAGTCAGGACTGTGAGTGAGCACTGATTCTCTGCCTTGGGTATTTTGAAGTTTTACCAAAAAAAAGCACACATGCTCCAATTTTAGAACTAACCTCCCACCCCTCCTTTGACACAAATATGTAGTTGAGGAGCTCCTTTCAAGGACAGTATCCGCAGTTCTTCTTTCAGCTGGCAGTTTTGAAGACTTCTCGTAACTGCTGTTACAAAAGCTGCTGTTCTATTCAGTTCCTTCCCCCATCCATTAATATGATAAACCTCACTAAAGCCTACCACACTTCTAGCGTATTCTGTATCCTATTCATTTTCCTTAGTTTTATATGCTCAGACATGTACTGGGATAGTTTCCTTTGGTAATAAGTACGTTGTTCTTTCCTCCTATGCAGGCACAACAACACAGCTCTCCATGAGGCAGTTCTGCTTGGATTGGAGGGACAGGAGAGCATCCGAGTCCTGTTACGGTATGTACTGTAGCTGGGCTTCTAGCTCAGCTGCAGGCTACCCACAGCCTGCCTGCACAGACCTAATTGGCACTACTGAAGGGCCAGAGCCTGTCCAAGGCTCAGTGGTCTTATCACTGTCCCTGCAGGAAGAGGCACACAGAAATTCTGAAGTTACTCTGCATCAACATTTACCTACAAGCCACTTCACGAAGTCCAGTAACTTGAAATGAATTTAAGTATTTGAAACCAATTTGTTCTTTATTTACAGCTGCAGTGCAAACATACAAAAGAAGAACGCAGAAGGGCAATCAGCATATGATTTGGCTGTTACAACTGGAAATAATGAGGTTATTTCATTGTTCCAAGTAAGGTCGGACAGAGAACATTGAACAAACTTATGAAACTCAGGAACATTGGTGTTGTCAACGTGTTACTACAACCTTTTTCCCAAAATAGAGCTGGAGGTTCCTTGACTTTGGGAGCATGTAATCATGTGTGTTCAGTTCTGTCGCAAAATTCACAACCCTGTACGATCAGATTGGGCCCTGTAACAGTCAGATATTTTCTCCAAGATTCCCCCCATTCCTTTCCAGCAGGTCAGAGCAGTTTCTGACTGAACTGCACTCTGTTTTGCAAATTTCTTTTCCTTTCCAAACTTGTGCAAGGAAAGGGACAAACCAAACCTTCCCAGGCACAAATAAATTTGAATGTCTTTGAAATGTCTTTAATGCCTAATGAATGCTGCTTAAAAAAGTTTGACACTTAGGCAACAGCACTGAGGCTGATGATCTTATTTTCCCTTTTGATGTTAAAACTGCATTCAGTGCAGCCCATTGCATTGAAGGTCAGATTCCTTTCCTCCAGAAAATCGAGTAAAACTACTTTGAATTATACCAAAGCTTAGCGTGCCTGGTATCCTTGTAAACTTCTACTTGTAGTTGGCTGCTGCCTCGTGTTGATCTATGTATAGATAAAAGTTGAAGGCAGAACAGCAATGTTATTAGCCACAATCCTAAATCCCTGAAGGATTTTTAAAAATCCTTCCCCTTTTCATGTCCCAAAATATCCTAAAGCATTGGTATATCCAGTACAAAAATGGAAATGCCTGTCAATTCTTGCCAGAAATATGTTTTAACACCAGAGCTACCAGGATCTCTACAGTACAGCAATATCTCTAAACAGCTGGGTTTCAAAAAAAAAAAAAGAAAAAAGAGAACAAGTAAACCTACAAGTAGTAATCCTTAATAAAACCAACAGAAAGATTAGGAGAATCCGTGCAGAGAAAGATTATGTATGCAATATATCAAACCACAGGTACTTCCTAGACAGACTCAGGTGAGTGAAGCAGAATTCAGCCTGCTTCTCAAGACAGCCAATCTGGAAGGAGCCTTGGGAAACACAGCCATTCAGTCACAGTGGCAGTGCCACAGTACATTTACAAGAAAGATGTCACTAGCAAGTGTGAAGCTGCAGCAGTCTAGGCCAGATTCTTTATTTTAGAACGTGTGCTCTTGGCTGCATCTTCAACCTCGGTCATCTTCTGAGAAATCTCTTTTTTCTGCAGAAAGTGAAAATAGTACATTACTGCCTACTACTAAGTAGAAGACTTAGTATCGTCGAGCTTCAAGGGGAAATCAGGCTACATCTCGCACAGAGCAGAGACTGAGGACCAGGAATGGGCACACCACCTCATCCAGCCCCAGTCTGGAAGCAACAAAGCACTTTGGCAACGCAGTGATAAGGCACAAGGAGTCCAGCTAAACAATCCCAAGACTAGAAACTAAGTAACTCTTCCAACATTACAGGGGGTTAGAGATACATTACGGTCTCTGTGTACGCTGTGTACGTACAATTGCCTTTATTATTCGCATTTTGTCCAGCTTCAGGAACTCCTGTAGTGTCAGGTTAGCAGGCTCTTTCGGAAGGGAAAGAAAACCACAGCCCGCAGAGTGCTTTTTGTGTTCCTCCCTGAAAAGACGGGGGGGGGGGGGGGGGAAAGAGAAAATAGAAGACAGTAGCTCCCAAAAAGCCACCCGCAGCTGTTCTCCCCTGCCGAGCACCTCGGTTGCCAGCAGCGCTTCCCGCTGCCGGAGCGCCGCCGCCATCGGGAGCGGCGCCGATCGGGGAGGGGGCCAGGGAAACCACCCCATACTCACAGGGGATCGTCGTCGGGCTCCCACCCCTCCAGCTCCTTGAGGCAGAAGAAGCACTGCGCCACGTCGGGGCTGTTCTCGCTGGGGCAGTGCACGAAACCCGCTGCCGCCATCTGCGGGCACAAGAAAGGCGGGAAGGTCCCGTCAGCGCCTGCCCGCCCCGCTCCCTCGGCCCCGCGCTCCCGCTCCCGGCTCACCCGCTCGGGCGTGCAGGCGCAGCCCTCGGTGAAGGGCCAGTTGCGGAAGGTGGCGACTCGGGAGGAGACGAGGTACAGCCGCCATTCCTCGGGCAGCACCGCCGGCCCCGCGCCGGCCGCCATGTCCCTGTTCAAACGGCGGCGGGCGCGGAGCAGGGCGGGAGCGGGGCGGTTCTGCCGCCCTCCAGCGCCAGCCTTGTAAATTCCGAAGAGTCCGAGAGCATGAGCCAGGAGGAAAAAGAATGTTTTGTTTTCTGTGGGGTTTTTAAAGCCCCCAGCACAAATCCAAGGGGAAGAAGGATAAGTTTGCCAGATCGATCTTTTTTTTTTTAAATTACACTCCTAGGAAGGTGCCATTGGTTTTTGTGCTGACAGAGCTGGTAGAGAAGCACAGCTTCCTCAACAGGAAACTCTTGCCTCCTGTTGAGGCAAAGCCCGCTCAGGGATGCTCCCGCTCCTCCGCGACAGTGGCTGCTTGTTCCTGCCCCAGGCAGCCGCCTTTCCACTCCCGCGGGCAGCGGGAGCGGCTGAGCTCACTGTCTCTGCCTGGCTAACGCTGCCTGTCTGGAGAAGAAAGCAGGACGAAGCACTCTTGTCTCGCTGGTTTTGCAGGGACGACCTGGCTACTCATCCGTCACAGCAGCGGGAGCTCAGATTCCTGAGCTGTGTGATGCAGCAGGCAGTGTTTGCTCGGTGTCTCCTCCAGAAAGAACGCAAGGGCTAGAGGGAAGCAACTCTGCGGACCAGGTTGGCAGAGACAAGTGATAAAGATGGCTTAGCTCAACCACTCACGAAGAGCTTATCATCACAAGCAGGTGGGTCTGCAAAGCAGCACATCCTCACACTATAGGTGGCAATGAATGGACCAAGCAGACTATTGTTTCAGCCCCCAGTCTGGATCTGAAGTCTGAAAAGAAGCATTTGACACTTGTGCAACGTCAGGACACTCAGGACTTCTCTTTCAAAGTAAACTGCAAAGTATTACTTCTACAAAATTAATGACTACTATGCAGAATGATCTGAGTATTTACCCAGCTCAGCTATAGCAGATGAATGGGCACAATAAGGTGACTATAGCAGGCTGCTTCCTGGTTGTGAAGTATCAAAGCTCAGACAAGGCCATGGAAGTGCATGGGCTTTTCTGCCCTTTTTGGAGCAGGTGAGGTTCCACCTTCATCCTCCAGGAAAATTTTGTTCTGTTAAACTGAGCTGTGTTTGGCAACTCTAATCGCTGCTACAGTCACTGCACAGGTCAGGGAAGCGCAGAGTAGTCATATCATAAAGCAGGGTGGATGCTGGCTCTTTAATCACAGCTAAGGTAACAAATCACCCTGGTTTCCAAGGCACAAAGAGGGAATAGGAGGCCTAGGAGCCTCATCCCTTGCAGAGAAATCCATGACCATTCAAGCACTGGCCTTTAAACTTCTCATTATTCAACATTATGGGGAGGAAACATTATCTTGAGAGGACCCTTGAAGTGATCCCTGTGCAGCCACAAAAGAGAGATTAAGCTGCAGCAGCTATTTTATAGCTACTTCAAAGGCTGCCAAGTTCTGGTGCTGACCTAGTGAAGACAAGTAGAGCTCCCTGGCAGCCCTGGTGCATTTCCCCAGGTTATCTGATTGCACACCTGACTTCACACAGTGCCTGTCAGGATGCTGGCCTCAGCCTCCTGTTGTTGGGACTCCTGCTGAAAGTGGGGGTGAATTCCTGCTCACCCAACAGTACCTCCGTGCTCACCCTTACAGCCAGTAGAATAAAAGCATATGTTTCCTACAGCTTGAGTTGCCAAGAGAAAATAACACGCGAATACTGCAGTTTTCACCACTGGTTTTCAGATCTGATTTGCTGGGATCTCTTTGCAAGTCAGAAAGTTCTTGGGTCATGGCTGTTCACCTTTACCCTATCAGTGAAGTGATGCTTGAGTCAGCCACACTTGTACCCACCAAAGCCGTTAGGATCATCAGGGAAGGATCTCATAGTAAGCAATTCAAAGGCACACTACATTTTCACAGGCAGCATGAATGAACAGGGTGTGCAGTTTATAAAAGCACAGAAGGTAACACTTAATCTCCCAGTCCTGAGAGTGTGGGATATAATAAGTATAGCTGTTAACTAACTAATTTTCCCAGAAATATGGGCAAATTATTAAGAAACAAGCAAATAGCAATACCGATCTCCATTCCCTGTAAGCTTTACTGAGCTCATTCTTACCAGTCTTCCTGAAAAAGGAAAACAGCTGAGGTGCAAAGGCTCAAAGGCATTTAATCACTTAATTCCCTTTGAGGATCTGGGAGTAAATGAAGCACCTGGATAAGACAAGCTGTCTGCAGCACAGCAGGTATCCCAGGTCTGTTATAACACCCTCTTCACTTAGCATTCTCCCTTTGAGCGACAAAGCCAGAGAGATATAGGCACAGAGCAAGCAGGTGCTCAAAATCTTCCTGGTCACCTTTGAGAACGCAATGCAGAACTGGTCATCTTCTTCAGACTATCCTGTATCTCCCAATTCTGGCTGGAAAGGGACAGTCTGCTAAGGCCTGCATGGGTGTGGCTTCTGTGCAGGTGTCCAGTGGGGAAATAGGGAGTTTCTTGCCTGGGTCAGCTGCCCACACACATCCTCTGTCGGCCATATTTGAGTTTGCTAGATTTCAATGAAATATGATGGAGAGACAGCTTAACAAACAGTACAACTACAGGTAGGCTTTTCCAAGGGAAGGGCTTTAATTAATTCATAAAGACAGGTATTTTTTTCTTTCCAAGTACAGCTAACTTGTAACATAAGTAACATCAAAAATTTTCACAGTCATAAAGCAGGCAGAAATGTGCATGAATGTTAGGGCACACAACCCTTGGATGGCCTGTTTTTCCCTCCCACTACCACTGTTTTTGTGTTGGTGATGATGTACGTTGACTACACAAAAACATACTTTGTGTCCCTTTCTCTTCTGTTACCAAAATGAAGACTGTTAAGGCAACTTCTACTGTGGCCAGGTAGCCAACAGATACACACAGTGGATTAAGAACAAAGAAGTCACATTTGGTGTGTAGTTCTTTGAGGGCTTGATGTGAAAGGAACATCACTGTGGATGTGATCCGTAGTTAAAATGCATAGACTGACCTTTTGTCAGTGCTGCTTTCTGTTCATCTGCAGTGAAAGTCAGGGAGAGAGAAGCCACTAAACTGCATAAAAGGAGAAGAGCCCACTACCAGAGAAACCATTTGGGGTTTGTATTTTCTTTCGTTCTTGGTTATTTCTATTTATTCTTTGCTCTCCTTTTTACTTAGAACCATGAAATGACAGCTTGGTGGTTCCAAGAGCTGGATCTGGCCTACCTCTAACCTTCTCTTCCCTCCAAGCTGCAAGCAGATTGCTTCTACAAATCAGCCTGCATTTCAAACATCACCACACACTTTTCTGAGTTTCTTCTATCCAGAGTGCCTGTAGCAGGAGGAGGTGGATGCTGGAGCCTTCAAGGCCAGCTCTATGGTTAGAGGTGTGCCAACAACTGTGTCAGCACCAACAATGGCAGAGAGGTTGTAAGATTTCAAAGGACTGATTTGGCAGGTATGGTATCCTGTCTTGCCTAGATACAAACCCACATGACACCTTGTTCCTAAACACAAAATACTGTGCACTGCAAGAACTTCACACTTGAGCACAGGGTCAACAAGGCGAAAGGAAGGCAGCAGAGAAGGAGCAGAAGAAAGGTGTCTTCTCTGAGCCTTTTATTTGGAATCACATGAATTCACACACTCTTTACTATGCCTAAAACATGGTTCCAGTACTATTGTTCTGGCACATGTAGAGCTTTCCTAAAGTTACTGCCCAGCTACATGCACCAATATCTCATTTCTCTTCACAGACTCAAGACATGGTTCCTAGCAAAGCAATCAAATTACAGAAACATTGAATGATTTAAGTTTAGAGGTTCATTTTCATTCATAAACAAAAAATGAAATTAAAAACCTGCAGCATTGTTTTGACAGGTTTCAAGATTTGAAATTCATGGGGCTCCTCTGAAGTGACAAATATTTTTTTGCTTGTTTGTCAATGAGGCTCTTCAAAGTAACAGTGCCAGGAAAATTCCCTGTAAACAATTTCAGTCTTCCAGTGGTTTCAGCATATCCCAGCTGGCATTTTCAGGCCTCTGCCCTTGGAGCACAGGAATCAATCCTCTTGGATTGCAGTTTCAGCACACAACATAGCACTGTTGAAATCCACCGGTGTGTTCCAGCTCTCATGTGACAGCCAACATCCTGCACTGAAAGCTGTGGTAGTTTTTTTGACAGATTGGGCTTTTCAGAGATCCCCAGACAGCTCTGACAGATTAGCGCCGCAGCCTGAGAAAGAATGCATGCTTACACTCCTTGCTGTCCAAGGGGTAATATTTATCATAAAAATCCAAAATGTATTCCTCAGTCTTAAATCCAAACTTCTGGTAGAGCAGCATAGCAGGGTTGCTTGCAGAGACGTGAAGAGTTACATCTTTGCCCATGCAGGTCTGCCAAGGAAAGGGGGAAAGAAAAAAAGAAGGTATCACAGTGAGAGAATGAGACAGCCTCTGGGGGAATGCAGAGGTGAGGAGATTCATCAGTTCAGGTATTCAAGTAACTGAGGAAATGTGAGAAAAGCTGGAGGCCCCCACACAGAAATCATCACACATAGCAAGAGCAAAGGCAAAGGGAACGCTGCTATTCCTTCAAGCCTTTGTTTCTGGGAAACATGGACTCTCTGCCAATGAAAGCAGGTTTGGGATTATAATTTGTCATCTTTCCATTGTCAATTACTAAAGTAACTGTTAATTAAAAATAATCTCAGTGTACAGCACTGATTTCAGATACTTAACAACGGCCTGAAGAAAAGACAAAACATGCCAGAGGATCAGGCACCTTACTGCACTCCTCCCCATCAGCAAACAGAGCTGAGCTCTCTGTGACCACTGGAGCAGCCCCAGGGCATCTCTGGGCTGTCACAGTAGAATTCCTATCTATTCCACCCAGCTCCTCTCCCACCCTTCAGGGCACAGCACTCCACCTACTGAGAAGGCAGGAATCCAGTTCAGGCAGCAAACAGCATGGCTGAAGTTACCTTAAAGATACCAAATTATTTTAACTAGCAACACCGATAAAGACGCTGAAGTAATTTTTTTTCTGCTTTCATCAA